CCTCTAAAAAGTTCTCTCTTTCTCCAAATTTCTGATTTAGCAATGTATATTTTACATTCTTGAACATTTAATCTACACTACTCTTATTTTCTAATTTGAAGATTGTTATGGAAAGCAATATATTAGGAAGCTTGTATATTACGGAGATTAATATTAGGTATCAAATTAGAGATCATAGGATCTTTTCTATATTAGAAACAATCTCAATCTATAGATGGGAGTATATAAAAATAAATAACATATGTGTTTAATTATGAAAAAAAAAGGATTTTGCTTCCCCTTACATGGTATCAAAGCCTTCGTCTGCTACGCCTTCAACCTGCAACAAGATGCATAGCTTGTTTTCATCTGCATAGCTCGTTTACATCGACGACATCTGCTTTGTCGATCGGCGTCACTAGCTTCATCGGCCGGTGTTGTCTTCTCCATCAATCTGCTCAATTTGTTTCGTTAATCGACCTCGACTGCTCTGATTCATCCAATTTTTCCCTCCTCGGTCACTTCTACAAGCAAAGAAACACTCGGTTTGGAAAAGACAACCTGAAGAAGAAGTCGCGGTTATGAACCGCAGTTTGTGGATTTTTCTGAGTTGAACGCCTTCATTGTGGTTTCGAATGGTTGTGTTTTCTAGCAGCCCTCGATCATCAGGTCGTAGAGGTCGACAAATTGGCTCGACGGTGTCACAGTTTCAAGCATCATCCCTAACTCAAGTGAACCCTCGCTGCTGTCTTTTCTTCAAACTTATCGGGTTGGTGTCAGAAGTGTGATTTTCATAGTTGACAATTGAGTTAACTAGCTGCTAGAAAAGAAGCTAAAATGAATTGCTTAGTTTAAGATTTTTTGAATTGGCTCTCTATCTCTTCAATCCTCAAATGATTTGGTGAACCGTTCGATTTCTAGAGAAAGTTTGAGTTCCTCTATTTGTTTCCTGCAATTACTTTGGCATCGTCTCCTCCATGCCATCCGGAAATAATTTCGCTTATTGGATTGCCCAGACCAGACAATGAGATCACAACATCATTGAGATTCATTGATTCGGCGTTGAATATTATTGGAGAATCTAAACAATGTTAATTACTCTTATTAGAATAAAACTACGAGACTTTAAATAAATAGTATTTCTTAATAGAGTCACCGCATTAATAATCCTTCAAGTGCGATCAATCCAAACAGATTATTCTGAGAAGGTGAGTTAATGCCTAGCTCTTGATACAAATATAAAATTCTATTGAACCCAATCAATTTGATCAAATCACTCATTGTGACTATCTGAAAGATGTGATGAAAAGATTAGCATTTGTGTTTTCTGGGAGAATTTTTTTCTCAAATCTTTCATGTTTGCAAGAAGTTCAATCGAGCTGGACAACAAGATTAATCACTTAACAGGTATCACATGCACGTTAAATATGTTTATGAAAAATTGAATGCACTATTGCCCTTCACTACTGATGTCTTGATGTGGCAGACTCAAAGAGAAAATGACTATTATAAGTCTTTTAGCTGACCTCAAAACTAAGTATGAATTCGTCAAATCAAAAATCCTATCTAACCTTGGAGTTGCCACTTTGAGAGAAGTCTATACTAGAGTTTTGCACATTATTCCGAGTTCTCAGGTTTCATCCGTACAACAAACTAGTGCTCTCGCTAGCCAGAAAATAAATCAGTAAACCTAAGTCTCAAAACAAGTATAATTGAACTCCAAATTTTGGAAATGTCATGAGCATAGTTATACGAAAAGAATATGTCAGAAGTTGCTCAAAAAGAATCAGAATGGCTCTAAATCACATGTTGTTCACATGGTCACTACTAATGATGTCTCCCAAGATCAGACTACGTCAATTTTTTCAAAAGAATATGATAAATTCATCCAGTTTCAACAAGCATCCAAAAACTCTACCTCTTTTACTACCCTTGTTGAGTCTGGTAACAATAATACTAACCTTCTTTCCTCTTCCACACAATGGATCATTGACTATGGTGCTACATATCACAGGTTGCTCATATGGCACTACTAAAGAGGCTTCCCAAGGTCAAACTCTGTAATTTTTGTATATAAATTTGCTAATTCATTCAATTTCAAAAATAATTCACAAAATCTACCTTTATTACTCTGTTTATCTTAATTCTCTTTTAATCCAATCTCTATTAGCAAAATTACACGTGCTCTTAATTTTTGTATATTATTCTTCCATGATCATTGTCTTTTTCAGGATTTTATGACAAAAAAGATTTTTGAAAAATGACAAGAGTCGGGAGAACTATACATTCTGGAGAACAAACTACCTTTGACCCATAGTTGTTTCAGCACTTTATTTCTTTTTGTGATCCATTATCGATTAAGGCATCCATCACTAACAATGCTAAAATAATTATGCCCTTAGTTACAACAATTATCATAATTAGATTATAAGACTTGTCAATTTGTTAAGCATCATAGTTTTGAGTTGGTTCATTCTAATGTATGGGGCATGTACTATTTTATCTAATGAATTTTAAGTGGATGATTTTTCTCATATGACTTGGCTTTTCTTTATGAAATCCTGTTTTGAGTTATTGTCATATTTTTCAATCTTTTTGTGCTGAAACTAAAACTCAATTTAATATTTCAGTCAAAATTCTAAGTAACAACACTTAAGAATATTTTTTTGCACCATTTCAGGCATACATGACACAAAATGGGATATTTCATCAATCATTTTATGTTGATACCTCATTCCTAAATGGAATATTTGAAAGAAAAAATGATATATTTTGGAGACAGCGAGAGCTCTTTAGCTTCAAACCAATGTGTCCTAATAGTTTGGGTTGATGTGGTTTTTAATGCATGTTATTTTATCCATCGAATGTCTTCTATTGTTTTACAAAACCATAACCATACAAAATATTATTTTCAACTAGCTCTCTCTTTTCCATTGAACCACGTATATTTGAGTGTACTTGTTTTATTCGTGATACTTGTCCACAGGTTTCTAAACTGGACCCTAAGTCATTAAGGTATCAAGCATACTATCATTTGCAAAAATGTTATCGATGTTTTCCCCCTCTTAAATTGGTACATAATTTATGCCCATGTCACTTTCATGAATAAATCTCATTCTTTGGTGAATTCTTATTGCCTAAATCCACACAAGATTCTGATGAGTTGTTAATGTATAATATCATCAGCTGAAATCTTTGATCCAACTTCACCTCCACCAGCATCTCAACCCAAACCACTAATCACAAATGTTTACTCTATAAGACCTCATCCCCCTGATTCTAGTATGACATCGATATTATCTTCTTCAATGGATCCTCCTCCTAGTGACCTTAATTTACCTATTGCTTTTCTAAGAGGTAAAAGTCAATGTATGTCTCATTTCCTCTTATATTAACTATAACCAATTTTATTCTACTTCATGTTCATATATTTATTCTCTTGACTCTATTATGATTCCAAGATCTGTTCAGCAAACTCTATCCCATTATGGGTGGCGAGCATCGGTGCTTGCTGAAATGAATGCCTTAATTGAAAATGGAACCTGGGAACTAGTTGGATTACATTCAGGAGATTGTTAGTTGCAAATAGGTCTTTGCAGTTAAATTTTATTTTGATGGATTAATAGCTCGTCTCAAATCTCAGTTAGTTGCCAAGGGCTATCCTCAAACTTATGAGATTGACCACTTAGACTAGTCCTCTCTGGAAGTGAAGTTGACTTTGGTTTGCCTCTTTTTGTCCTTAGCTGCAATGAATAATTAGCCCCTGCACCAACTTGATGTGAAGAATGTCTTTCTATATTGTGATCATTTAAAAGAGCTATATGTGAAGTAACCTTTTAGGTTTGTTGCTCAGGGGGGTATAGAAAATTATGCGCAAACTTTCTCAAATCACCTGTAATATAATCAGTGACACCATAATCTAGTTTTTAGCATTTGGTTAACCTTTTGGTTTTTAAGGAAATTATGAGCTTATATGTTTGAAACAAGACAAGTACAAATAACAATAAATAAAAGAGCAAATTTTTCATAGATTGAAAGACAAACTTCTGGAGAGAATCCATCTGCTCTTTATTGAATATGTTTGACACAAAGTTATTAGTAGTGACATGTCCACAACTTTGTTTTTAAGAGAATATGTAAGGTTCCAATTTTGTTGGTTTCTCGTTGATTTTCGAGCAATTGCCCTTCATGTGACCCGATTTATGATAGTGATTTACACCAAGGTCATCCTCTCGATGGTTTGTTCATTGTTTTCAGCTTCTGGTTGTTGTTGGGGAAGCAAAATTCTAGGGCATAATAGATTATGAAATTGAAGATCCCATCATCAATTTTTGAAAACTTTATCGAATATCTAGAAAAGCTTATTAAAAGGTGGGCAGTGGGGTTGTTCCTAAGAATCTCCCGAAAACTTAATCAAGATACCTTAAATTTAAACACATTTCTTCTCAATAATTTGCATGTATAGTTGTTCATCTCTGAAACATTGCTGCTCCTGCACTTCAAATAAGTCAAGTTTTTTGGTGATAGAGCCCAATAGGTGCAGTGATGGGTAAAAGTGGATTCCCCCTGCCAAATTTCATGAAGAGTACTTTCAACATTAAAAAGTTTCAATACACTTTTAGATTTGTGAATAACTTTGTTAGCAGCATCTCGAATCTTTTTTCTAGAATTTCCTCCAAATTCATTTGTCATAAAATTAATGAGCTAGGAATGTATCAGACTATTTTCTAATTTCCAGATCCTAAACAAGGGATTTTCTTTCTTGGGTTTGTCATGGCTCCATTAAAGAGCAATTAAAATAGATGATATAACAAGTTTCCTAGAACAAAAAATTTAAATTTATTGAAAATTTTTCGCCAAAGTACTTTGCCTTCTTGATGGCTTATGTTAAATCGAAGCAACAATGACCTCCAAGGCCTTAAGTAGCAGAAATAGAAAACGTGAAACACAAAAAATCACAGATCAATATCGAGAGTAAACAACAACAAAACAAATACATCAGTAGGTGGAAGACATAATACCTTCCGAAAGCCAACCATAGCCTTTCATGGAGACAGACAGCATTGAAGTCATCAATGCCGTGGCAGTAGCGTTGTGCATTGGTAGAAAAGACTCAACGCAGCAGCTCAACACAGCCGGGGACCTCATCAGAACAAGATAACAAGATAAGCATGCCAATTGTTACCTAGACCCAACACTCTCGAAGCCGGAAAAAAAAAAGGATTCCGTTGAGATAATTCTCCTCCCATTATTTCTTCCTTCAAAATACGATGAAAGTTATGTAGAATTTCGTGATCATACCTCGGGATGCGACGGGAAGCTGGCCTCAGTTTGTGGAGGCAGAGAAGAGGGCGAGAGCCCATCGTCTCCAAGGAGGCGACGCGCGCCTCTCGTGCAGCGATGCGAACAGAAGAAGTTCGAAGCAATGATCTGAAGGCTGAGGCAGCCATGGGAGCAAGTGAGAGGCTGCTGTTCCTAGCCCTAGTTGATTTTTTTTCCGGAATCAGCCTCTGTTTATATATAGTTGTGCGGGATCGGTTTTGAAAACCCGCGGTATCATTTGGAGCTCACGAAAGAAATTTGCTTGGGAGGAATTCAACTTTGGCCCCCACATGAAAATAAATAGTCATTTCCCACTCAAATGTTCATTTTCTATTCGGACACCTCACGTAACTCTACGTGCAACGCAGGTTATTCATGAGTTATTTTCAGATTATTTTTGAGTTATTTTTAAAATTTTCGAAATAATCAAAAAATAACGCAAAAATAAAGACCACGAGTCATTTCTAAGTTATTTCGAGATTGTTGAAAATAATCCAGAAATAACATGAAAATAACTCAAGAATATTCTGCGCCGCACGTAGAGCTACGTCAGGAGTCCGCACAGAAAAATTTGTGGTTGTACCCATGTTATACCTCCCGCGGTCAGCCTTCAGTGATGCATGTGTAAACTCGTTGTAACCAGGTTGTAACCTTCCAGAGGTATCGCACATGTAACCTGAATGAAACTTCCCTGTAACGTCGTAGCCGCGAAACAGTCTAGCGTACCATTCATGTAACTTGAATGTAACGGCGATGTAACAGACTCTTAACCCCGTCGATTTGGAACCGCGCGTGTAACCATCATGTAACCTGAAGTAATCCTCATGTAACCTTTTATAACCTATTAACCCGTGGTAAAAATTAAAAAACCAACACAGTAAGAAATCGTATTCGAAAAATAGGGATTCGGGCGTCGCTAGGGTTCCTTCATCGTCTTCCTTTTCAAGGTTAGGGTTTAGGGTTTTGGATTGCTTTTGTGAGGGAAGAGTAAAATGAAAGATAAGGAGGCGACTACGAAGACCTTGGAAGAGCCCAATGTTACGGATTTGGGAGAGGTTGATCAGTTGGAATGTGAGCAGGCAACGCTTATGGCGAAGGGCAGCCATAAGCAGTCGAAGAAGGAAGACAGTCAAACTGTTTCTAAGTATTATTTAGATTATGCTTTCTGATCCATTTATTTTGGTTAATGGTGATATTCGGTGGTTATGAAGAACTTTGTCAACACATTATATTCCACTATTAATATATTAAAAACTCCTTCCTAAAAAGAATAACAACGATCATCATACTTTCATATTTGTCAACAGAGATCTTCATTTAGGAAAGCTTGGTTAATGGTGTTAAATGAATTTTAAATGAGGACCTTTTATCGTCAAACAGATATATATGTGATACTAAATTATTCTGTTGTATTCTTGTAGGTTTTTGAACACAAAAGCAATGAATTGCAGATGTCGTCCATCTGCAGTACGAGAAGTTTTCGATAAGGTCTTCGTGAGGTCTTTAATTGGAAGCCATGAGTTTGACTCAATTTTTTGAACTCCCTTCGTACCCTCAGGATCATATTCTGACGATGCATATAATGAATTGTTGGGACGTTGATTGAATGACATTCAGGAAAGAGCTCAAATTTGATTCAAATGAAGTTGCACTCCTGATAGGCATGCCCAATAGAGAGTTTCATGCATGCTGAAGCAATGCTTTGTCTGGTAGTATGGATGCGAGACAAATAAAGGCCGCACAACTAAACTTTTCACTAGGAGAGTCCTCTCATAACATTTTGCAATTATTAATCAAGTTTTTAATTTCAAATTTGTTTTTCTTTCAAGCAACTTTAGATTGTCGAAAGAATTGTCTTCTATTTGAATGTATAAACTTTTGCAGCATATAACTGGCCAGCTACAGTATGTGAATTTCTGGCTGAGCAACTGAATGTTTGTGCCACAAAAATAAAGAAGGATCAACCACTGGGTTACAATAATGGTTTTGTCTTTCTTCTATCGGTTTGTGCACTGCACATAACTTTTAAAAGTTATTTTCATAATTTTGGACATAGTAATGAATTATTTTATCATGTTTAACGCAGCTTTGGTTTTATGAGCACTTGTCCTTGGTCCTCCCAGCATTGCCTGAGGCTAGACCACGAATGATGCTGAGGTGGTCATGTTGAGGTGGTCAAATGTGAGGTGGAATACTGTAAAGATTCAACTAGCCTTTGAGAGGCTCGGATCTACCGAGGAGAGTTATTTAGTTCCTTAATCCATAGAATTTGTTAAGTTCAAGTGATAATTTGATTGACTTTGATTGTATGTAATTTCTTGCAGGTTTATGATTATTTCCTTGAAATAAAAGACAGTGAGCAGCATTTACTTGACCCCTCCACTTCAAGAACCATCCAGTACTATGAAACATCTCCCAAAAAAGGTGACTCAATCTCGACCACATTCACCCACATTCGTTGACGTTTTTGATGTTATAGTTCCTTATCATACAAGTTCTCAACAAACACATGGTGATACATATCCACATTCTAGCCCTCGAATTAGTTTTGAAGAAATCCATGAATTACTTAAAAATCATCATAAATTGTTCTTGGACTTTAAGGCTCAGTTAATAAGTCTGACAAATTTGGAAAATGCAATGACAGAGTTAAAATGCAAAGTTAAAAAATTAAAGAAAGTAATAAAACAACTAGGTGGGACATTTCCAAGTAAATGGGTCAAAGAGCCCCCACTATGAAGCCTAATTCAAAGGATTAAGACAAGAGAGGGTGAAAGAAAAAGGCTTTCTCAGTTCTCCATTTATGGTTTTTGAACGGAAGAGAAGGAAAAAACCAACACAGGAGGCGGCTGAAGATGTTGAAGATGTTGAAGCCTGCACCTAAGCATTATCCAATAAAATTCTTCTTTATTAATTCAATTAAAAATATCTCTTATTTAACAGGTTGATGTTGTAAATACAGGGGAAGCAGACCAAGTTGATCAGCAAATTATAACTGGTGACATTAGTTCTGATCAACCAACTGTACATATTAAGAAAGCTGAAGAAGTTCATGAAACACCATTTGTAGATAAAAAGAATAATCAGGAACAAGTCAACATGCAATATGTTGATGAAGACTACCCTCATAAGGTATAGAATGCATCCTTGAAGTCTTCACACTGCTAACTTGAACATTTCTATCTTATAATGTTTATTTTTTTTCTTATAGGTCTGTTTAGCACCACTTGTGGTCGATTTTCTTGCTAGACAACAAATTTCAGATTATATGCGGGAAACAATCGATATCTGTTGTAACAAATTCACTGACTTGTTAGTGTACCATTTTTAGTTATTGATTATCTTTTGTATTTATTTGTGATCTAAATTATATATTTGAAATGCAGAGGTGACTTAGTAATTAATACGGGACATGTTTCATTAACTCGACGTTATCTTGTTGAATTACTCATAAAATGGTGGGTAGAAATTGAACAAGTCGATTGGTTTGCTATGTTAATGAAGAATAAGAGATGCAAAACACCACATCTATATAGATCTTACTTATATGTGTCTTCATGCCACTGGGTAAATTATGAAATTCATGTGTCTTATAGTGCATCTAAATAAATCTTCAATTACTAGTTGTTCTTTGTCATATATTTCTTTTTATGCAGTTGTACAAAGTAGGCAACATTAAAGGGTTTGTGGAGCACATTACGAAGGATACCACTAAGAATATGGAGTTAGTTTTTCTAACAATAATCAATAATTAGCATTGAACACTGCTAGTTGGAGCAATGAAGGATGACAAATGGAGATTATATGATTCCTTGCCCACGAGAATGCATTTGCATATCACTGATGCCATCGTAAGTAGGCGATGTATATTACTTTATGTTCTTATGTAATATGTTTCCTATGCGATTGTTCATTCATTTCTATTATGCAGATTAAACATTTTTTTAGGGATGTCGGGGAAGCGTTCGAGGCTGATCTAAGTAAATGACAAGTTGTTAAGCCCAGAGGCATTCCAGTGTAGAGCAATATATGGAAACAATAGTACATAAGAGTAAATTCGATTGGAAAGACTGTTTGCAATGGCAGGAATCGATGTCATTATTTAGAGCAGAAATAAAATACGAGATTTGTAAATTTGCATTGTCACAAACGTAGTTGTTTTGGAACAAGTATAGGTTTATGTTAATAAGCTTTTTCATCTCTAACCTTTTAGCCATCGAATATCTCTCTTGAGATGTCATATAGGTTTTTTACTAATTAGGAGGCCATTGAATGTCAATACACTCATTTACAAATCTTAATTACTGAGAAGGCCACAGAATGTCAATACACTCATTGAGAAGGCCATAGAATGTCAATACACTCATTTACAGATCTTAATTATATTGCATTTATTAGTTTGGCATTTAATGAGAAAGCCACAACTTCTTTTTGTGCAGGAACAAAAAAAAGAGATAATGCAGGAGCTATATGGGTGGATGACATAGTTCACACATGCTTCAATCTGGATAGATTATTTTTTGGGGAGCTCGGTGCTAGACCTGCTAAAAATGGGTGTAACAAATGTATGTTGCAGTTTAACTGAATTTCGGGAGCCATTGGATAGTTGTAAATTATTTACTTTACCATGTATTATGCGATTTAAACTCTGAACAACCCAATGTATTATTTGTTTTAGAGATATAACAAATGTATTTTGGGTTTCATTTATAATTTTATGTAATGATTGTAATGGATTCGTTGAGCTATGATTAAATGTATAAATTTTATTGCCCAAGTTATGTGACTAAGATGCTGTTGAGGATTTGTTGAGTTGTGACTAAGATGTTGTGGCTTCAATAATTGCTTGCGTTAGAATGACTTGAGTTTTTATTATGAGAATTGTCATACAGCCGAAAGGAAGCTTATACGCACACAGGAAGCTGTTCCAGACTTAAAATGCTGAAGTTGAAACTTTGTGAAAATAAATTGATGCAAGTTTAGCCAGCATACTTAATTTTTTTTATTAAGAATCAAATTAATAAATGACATTCAAAGTACTCATCAAAATTTTTAATAACAATAATGTAGGTAGAATCCCCCATTCATGTCCACTTGCAAGGTTTCAACCTCAAGCATTTGTAGCAGTTAGAATGCCAATCTTACATTTAATTTTCAGCATTCATTGGCAACATTATGTGCAGAAAAGGTTATCCATTTTTGCAAAATACTTGGAGTAGT